GATCTGGTTAAAACGTTTCTGTGGGCAACGGCGGCTGGGCCTGGGAAGGCTGCTGTCACACTGTGTGATGTTGAAGACACGCAGCTTTGAGTCGGGGAGTGAAGCGGCGTGCTGTTTGTCTGTTTCTACACTAAGAGAGCCATTTCTAATCAGCAGCACTGCAGTAGAGACCGCAGAACATGAGAGATGTCAACCACAGCAGAGTGCAGGCACTGGCTGTCTGAGGCCGGTGATGATATAAGCGGCTGATCAAGTCATCAAGAGCCATCAGCAGGTCACATCCGGGCTGAATGAAGATAGCTAGAGTCATCCTCATTTATGAAATCTGTTCTGTTTATTAGTAAAACTCTTTACTCAACAAAAAACTACACATTCAACATGGTTTTACTTGGTAGCCTGTGAACATTTTGTCAATTTATTAGCTGATTCTAACTTATTCCATATCACGTCCCAATGCATTGGTCAAAACCAACCAAAACAATTGGTTAGTTTGACCGAAAGACAGAAAACACTGCCGCTACTGTTGGTAGTGTTTTCTATTATCTGCTGAGACATGTACAAACACTGGTGCTGCAGGAGTTTACTTTGTCCACCAGAGGGCAGACAGGTGCAGCAGCTGTGGAAAAGCCACTCCAATGTATATATGACTTTTCTGTTCAGCCTGGTTACATTTATTTATTTATTTATTTTGTTTGTTTGTTTGTTTGTTTGTTTGTTTATTTATTTATTTATTTTTAAGAAACTGAAATTAGCCTCTCATCCTTTGCAACAACTAGAAAATTCAAAATAAGCCATAAATAATTCCTGCAAGAGTTGCTTACTTTGTATTTTACCCAGTAAAAAAATTGCAGGGTTGGACATATTTGGCTGATTTCTGGTCTTTTTTGGAACAAATCCCTTCACATATTAAACAATAAACCACCAAAGCCACATCAATGATGTGTATGGAACAGTTTGGTGCCAGGTACAAAATAAAGTCAATTTACTTGTTGCATCAACAAAATCTCAAATGTTTGTGAGAAAACATTTAAGAAAGGCATCAAAACTATGTTTGCCTGTCATTTTATACACACCCTGCTATGAACTTTGGCTGGATTTGATTGTCTCATTCCCACATTAGGCTCCTCTCTTGTTTTTTTGTGCTAAAGTGGCAGTGCAGTGGTGGAAATGAAAGTGAGGGAGATGTTTAGAGGCCGATGGTCCACCGTGTCTGCTCTAGTGTGGTTTTGAGGGAGTTATTTGGTGTTAAAATATGCCTTAATGGCTGCTGGGGATCCATTTATTACAGGCAGGAAGCAGAAGGGGGTTTCTCCTCTCATTTATTGTGACCACCAAGAAGCTCGCCAAGTCCTACAGGCCAGCCAGCATTCCTCTACACACACACACACACACACACACACACACACACACACACACACACACACACACACACACACACACACACACACACACACACACACACACACACACACACAGTTAGAATCTATCTACACACTCCGACGTTAACCGTTTGGGCCCGAGCATAAATGAAGTTTGTGCACACGTGTCGTGTCCGGATTGAGAAACACATGAACAACACACAAACACTAGAACAAGTTCAGAAACAGCCTTCAAATATATGTGTGCTCATGAAAGCTTCCTCACAAATAGACTGTGGTCTCTGGCAGAGACGACGGCCCTTTTCTGAATCGTGGTGACACAACTAAACACACACATTGGCCCAGAAAGCCCCTGCAAAAGCTTCATGCAAGGCAGTGTGGAAGTTGTATGGAGCCAGTCTCTCGAGCGCTTATTAGTTCACTTTTGTTTTGCAATTCTCACACTTGATTTGATGTGTTTTCATTTTCTCCTATTGGATGGTCACCTTCTGTCCTGATCCACAATGTCTGCTCATTGTTTCCTTCTTTTGTGGTCCATCAAGCACAGAACCAGTTAGCGTCAGATACCACCCCATCTGTTTGGCCCAAAAGGGATTTCCTTGTTCCAACACTCACTTAAAGGTAAACAGTGACTTATCTCTGCTACTCCTCCACATCATGCACCGTCAGCTAAGGGGGTTTGGATTGTGAAATCTCCTGATCGAAGGATTTTCAGTCACATCCTATTATGAGGAGATTCTGGGGCAGACCATGGACTTGCTGGGCACATGTCCCTTTGGACTGGGGGTATACCTTAGGGTCACTCGGGAGAAGGTTGGTGAGAGGAATGTCCAGGTTGCCCCCTTGTTTGATCGTGTTGAAGATGAGTGTCATGTTTTGTTTTACAGTCCGTTATATAACGGTTTAAGAATGTCCACGTTTGAAAAGATTCAGAGTAAAAATCCTCATTTGCTTTGGTTTTCAGATGATGCAATGTTAATAATGCTTTTGTAAATGTGCAGCCACTTCTTTTTGTTAAATAGTGTCATACAAGCCCATTTGTGCATGGCAGTGAAATAAAACAGGTTTCTTCATAAGTTTTGATTCTGATTCATCCTCACCGGTGTCATCTGCAGCCTGGTTTCAAGTCCACATGTGCCTTAGCCAGAGGCCTTGCTGTGTACAACAGGGTTGTGCTAGGTTGTGTGTGCGGATGCGAGCATATTGGGTTGCATGGAGGATACGGAGCTCTGTCTCTCCTTTCATCAGCTGAGTGAAGGCAGAACATCAACCAGTAATAGTGTGCAATTCGACCCTGAAGTTTATCTGTGCTTTAAAACGCAACAAACCAAAGACAAAGGGCACACTTTGATGCTGACCAAGGCTTGTCAGCTTTGTCCAGTGATCACCACCGTTGAGGTGGTATCACTTCTAAGTCTGCGTCATCTGAGGTCACCATCCAGCAGCTCAGATGATATCCAGACTCCCATAGATCACCCATCATAGGGGACAATCTGGTGTCTGTCTTGACTGCCTTTATTTTACCACTTATGCTGCGTTCAGGTTCAAAAGCCGAAGAGAAGTTAGTAAATGTCAGTTCTAGGCCGACGCGAGCCCCTCAGAACTTTCTGCTTCAGTTTTCATGATCAATACCAACAAAGTCACATTAAGGAGTTTTTATTTCAGATTGTTTTATGTTTTTAATTTTTCACTGGTAATCATGCAGCATATTTTAAATAGTGGTGCTCCTTTTGTTCACGTGTTTTTTAGTTAATTATAAAATATGTGGGTTGGGTGAGGTTTCCTGATGATTCCAAATAGCTTCAAACACATCTAGTGTTAATTTGTCAGCTTCATGATTGTGTGTGTTTGACACATGAGAGGCTATTTGTCATGTATGTGATGCAAACCCATGTCAAAAATAGATCTGCTTTCCTGAATGTGGCCAAAGTCAGCACATATTTACCTGAGGACAGGAATGCTTCGACGGAAACTTGGTGAGGGAAGAAAAGGGTTCTTTTAAAGCCTGACCTCTGACTTTGGTTGTAGTTGTGGTTTCTCACAGAGGAAATTCAGCAGGACAAAAATAGAAGATTTTAAATTAGCCTCCAAGAAGTAAAGTGAGACCATTACAAACGGTTACTGTGTAACTGTGAGTATCTGTGTGTACCGTGTACCGTGGAGGGAGGAGGGTGATTACGGTGTAGAATGTCCTCCCCATCGTTGGAGCTGACCTAAGAACACAACGGTTAATCATCCACTAACCGACGGGGCGACACAGAGTGAGAGAAGAGAGGCGAGCCACCTGAGCACCAGCAAGAAGCCACTTGTGTCTCCTAGAAGCTCAATCAAACAACGAAGAAAGGACGAGGGGACACATTGGACCATCTAGATCAACACATGTGACATTGGATAGCAGAAATCTGCAACCGAGCTCATTCTAGAAAACGGATTATTTAAGAGGTGTTTGCCAAAAATTCTTGTTTTGGATCAAATGGACTCAATCGTGAAAGGTAAAAGTGACCACATGGGGTCTCGTCCGGGATGCCAGCAGCTGAAGTGAAGCCCACTCTGGAGGAGATGGTGGCAGAGGGAGAGGGGGCTGTTGAGCGTGAGGTGTCCGTGTGGGAGACCCCTGGTCCTGGCTGGGAGCAGCTGCCTTTGTCCTCTTTGAAGGTCTCCGGAGACCTGCTGCGAAGCTTTCCTCATTCCAAACGGGTGGGATCCTACCTGGTTGGGAAGATGATCAACAAGGGCTCATTTGCCAAAGTCATGGAGGGGCTTCACACTGGCGTGGGGGAGAAGGTGAGTAAAGTGGGTTGGAAGTATGGCAACATGGCAAAAAAAAACATCACAGGTTTAACTTCTGATTGCATGGTTACAGCATCACAACAGCTGATTACAAACATGATAATATGGAGCTGATGGCAGCCTGTTATTATACTTTTCATGGTTCAGACTGCTTATTTAATCTTTGCTGAACAGGCAAGAGTGCTTTGGATTCTTAAATGTACTTTTGTGTTCATTACCACGTAAAAATCTATCAGATTTTATATGTTAATTAGACATCCCAACTCTATTTCACCATATGCATCATATTTAAAACAGCTCTACCTCTTTAGCAGGATTTGTACTTTCCTCTTAAACCTGCTGTGACAAATGCTAATGTGTATCTTTCTGCCTTCTGATGGGGACTCCACAAGTGGAGAGGGCCAGTTTTGTTTATTTTCATTTATTGTATTGATATGATTGAAGGTGGTTTCTTTGTTCATCTTAACTGCTTTTATTAGATTCCTGTCAACACTGTAAAAACTATTTGCAGAGCCTTGGAGGTTTCTTGGAAATAATTCTAAAACTGGAAAAATAATTTTGCCTTTACTAGTTTTCACCCACGTCTTAATAAAAACCAAAGTGATTAGAGGTAGCAAAGGGAGCAGCTTTTGTTCTGCTACGTTTGCAGCAGGTTTATTAGGCTAGTTTGCTGTTTTAAAACTCCTGATTTCAGCCAGATCTGATTTAGAAGAAACAGAAACTAGGTCTTACCAGATTGATAGGCTAATGGCTAGTTATACCTGAACCAATAAGTGAATTTCTATTGAAATAAAACAACCCTGTTCTAAAATAGTAAAAGAAGTTCATATGAACTCTATTTTCTAAACTTTTTATATTTCCATCAATATGTTTATTTATTTATTTATTTATTTATTTATTTATTTATTTATTTATTTATTTATTTGTGCTACCTGAGGCTGTTCCAGCAAGAATATTGACTATTTCCACAAAAAAATGTACTTCATGTATGTCTGAAATGCAGTAAAGAGGTTTATAAAATTATATGTTTATTAATTTGAGACTTTATTTTTCAAAACGCTTGGTTACTTGCTTATTTGAGACGACATTGTGTTCGTTAATACTGTTTGCGTGTTTTCTTTTGGGTGTATTCAGGTGGCCATTAAAGTGATAGACAAGAAGAAAGCACGCCAAGACTCCTATGTGCTCAGGAACCTAAAGAGAGAACCCCGAATTCATCAGATGGTCCGACATCCTCATATTGTTGTTCTCCTGGAGGTAAAACTCAAAGCTTATTAAAGCTGAGATCAAAACCATCAGAAATGTAGATAGTTCAGTGAACATTATCTTAGTATTTTAGTCACTTTGTGTGTGTGTGTGTGTGTGTGTGTGTGTGTGTGTGTGTGTGTGTGTGTGTGTGTGTGTGTGTGTGTGTGTGTGTGTGTGTGTGTGTGTGTGTGTGTGTGTGTGTGTGTGTGTGAGAGACCCTGGAGACAGAGAACAGTTACTACTTGGTCATGGAGCTGTGTGCAGGAGGAGACCTGATGGACAGAGTCTGTGACAGGAGGAGGTTGGAGGAGAGGGAGGTGCGACGTTACACCCGACAAATCCTCTCTGCTGTGGATCACCTGCACAAGCATGGCATCGTGCACAGGTTACTACACACACACACACACACACACACGACAATGTTAGGAAGACCACCTTCATAATGATAATTGCCTGTTTCACATTGCTAATCCAGGTGCATGTAGGGACAAAGTTGACCTGTTCAGGTATTCACGTTTAGGCTCAGGTAAAAATGGCACTTAGCTAACAGCTCGCTGGCTGTTATCCGCTCCTGGATTTCTGTAAACAGCTATTGTTCTTTAAAATGGTGAAAGTGTGACATCTGCACTGGAGAGACAATGCAGGTAGAAATATTGGCAATTATATGGCGTGGCTTTTGAACCATGCAAACATGAATATGAACAGCTAAAATGTGCATAGTTTTATGGCACGAGTTTGCCAGTCAGTCATATCATACAGTTTTATTTCATACCGGGAATTTGCCTAACATTCTGAAACGAGAACTACTTGGTAGCAGCAAAGAAGGTGAAAAGACTGGTTAGATGCACAAAAGCAACCCCGCTGACAATAGCCTTTGTCTCTGGAGGACATTTACATCAGCACACACAGAATCACAGAAAAGCAAAGATAGACCTCAGTCATAAAGGCATGAACCCTTCACCCTAGGCTGGCCTCTATACTTTCTCATAACCGTGATCACAGCATGACTTTTATGTTATTTTTGGATTTTAAAAGGCCTGAGAAACCTATTTTTTTCTAATTAGATGTTTAATGACAAAAATAATGTTATCCTTCCATAAATATCAATTTTGTATTACCTAATGCATGTTGGTTTCTAACTGACACATAGGAAGGTATTCCTTTTCAATGTATGCAAATTGCTTCATTTGAGAAGCAAGTGCCCCTGTGGAAATGTTTTTGTAAATTGCATGAACTCTTAAGACCCTATTTTGTATCTGCAAACGAAGCAGAGTCCTATTCTGATGATTTACAGCATAACTACAGTCCTAAAAGAAAGTTAATGTCTTGCACAGTTCAGTGTGGGTGACAATTTTCTTTTAGTACAATTTAGTGTCAGATAACCCACTCACAATCACATGCATGCACGCACGTGCTCACACACTCACACACACACACACACACACACACACACACACACACACACACACACACACACACACAGCACTGTGCTTAAAGAACTTGGCTTCTCTGAAGGTGGGAATGTGATTACCAGGCAGTGACTTCATCATTCTGTGCCGACGCCATGATTCACACATCATCACAACATCATGGACTTCCTTTCTAATGAAGTCCCTCAACGACACAGCTTTCAGCTCCTAAAAAACACCTCTTTCTCTATTACACTTTCCCACATGCACACACACACACACACACACACACACACACACACACACACACTCTCTCTCTCCACCAAAAGCCCAGTAGGCACGGTTCCTGATTAAACTGGAAATAAATGGAAAATTTGCACTTAAACACACCTCCTGCCACCCACATTCAATAGGTTTGCCATACATTTTCTCCTTCGTGACAATGTGTGTTCTTGCTGTTTCTAGCTGTGTTTCCACCCCCACGTCGCACACACACACACACACACACACACACACACACACACACACACACTTGTCTTTGAACTCCCCTTGGGTTGTATGAGCAGGCTTCTCTGGGTTTTTGAGCGTCTGCTGGTTAGATGAATGCAGATGAAAGGAACATGGTGGATTCCCAGTCTGTGTTTTAGGGGCTCTCTCACTCTTAACCGCAGATTTTCATTTAGCCGGTAGTTTTATAGCCGGCAGTATGATGGCAATGAGACTGGGGCAATTCAGTGCGACCTACTCAGGTAAATGCAGGGATTTTTTTGGGGTCAATGTTGAAGGATGAATCAAGGACTGTAACGGGTCAACTTGACCTAAAGGTTCTGAGGTTTCTAAAGCGGTTGCTGGATTTGGACAAACTAATCCCCCAAACTACCAAATGTTCAGTCAGCAGAGTTTTAAAGACTTGAGTTCTGGCCAAACCCAAGCTTATGGGTTTTCTGTTGCTTCTGCAGGGCCTGTCCTATCCCAGATCATCTTGTTTTTTATAAATACGCCATAAAAGCTTTCTCAAATAGAACTAGCACCATGATGTCGGTCAAGCAAATTACTGGAAAACACTCTAATGAGGGGAAGAAATGTAGGATTAGAAGCAGGATACATAAAAGTAAAACTAAAAACCATATTTGCCCATTGAGGCTGACTCATTTCTTTCCTTTTGCAGAGATCTAAAGATTGAAAACTTCCTCCTGGATGAACATAACAACATAAAGATTGTGGGTATGTTGACATTCAAATTGGCACAAAACTTGAAACCATTTCTGTTAAGTGTTTCTTAAAGGTGCAGTATGTAAGCATATAGTGAGAATTTAACAGTGAGGAAATCCCAAAAGAGTCTAATGTTTCCGTCATTTTGGGAGCAAGGTTATACTGAAACGTGTTTAATATCCAGCTGGCTGCGGGGATTGTCAGTTTTTCTCCTTTCATCTGATCCAACTCACCACCAGGTGGTGATCAGTTGACAGCTCCGCTCCTCTCTTCACTCGGGGGTCCAAAACATACGGCCGCAGGTCAGATGATACGACTACAAAGTCTATCATCGACCTGTGACTTAGGCTGCCCTGGTACCAAGTGTACCGATGGGCATCCTTATGTTCGAACATGGTGTTCGTTATGGCCAAACTGCGGCTTGCACAGAAGTCCAATAACAAAACACCACTCGAGTTCAGATCAGGCGGGCCGTTCCTCCCAATCACACCCCTCCAGGTCATGCTGTCATTGCCCACATGCGCATTGAAGTCCCCCAGCAGGACAATGGTGTCCCCTGATGGAGCACTATCTAGCACTCATCCAAGGGACTCCAAAAAGGGTGGGTACTCTGGACTGATATTTGGCCCATAAGCACAAACAACAGTCAGGACCCGTTCCCCGACCCGAAGGCGCAGGGAAGCTACTCTCTCGTCCCCAGGGGTAAACCCCAACACACAGGCAGAGAGTCTTGGGGCTAACAAAAAGCCAACCCCAGCCCTCCGCCTCTCACCTGGAGCAGCTCCAGCAAAGGAGAGTGTCCAACCCCTCTCAAGGACTTGGGTTCCAGAGCCAATGCTATGTGTCGAGGTGAGGCCGACTATATCTAGCCGGTACCGCTCAACCTCTGCCACAAGCTCCTGCTCCTTCCCCGCCAGCGAGGTGACGTTCCATGTCCCAAAAAACAGTTTTCTTGTCACGGGATCAGACCGCCAAGACTCCCGCCTTGGTCTGCCACCCAATCCACATTGCACCGGACCCTTCATGTTCCTCCTGCGGGTAGTGGGTCCACAGTTGGATGAGCCCATGTATCCGGTTCGGGCTGGGCCCGGCCGGGCCCCATGGGCGAAAGCCCGGCCACCAGGCGCTCGCTCACGGGCCCCAACCCCAGGCCTGGCTCCAGGGTGGGACCCCGGTAACCCTCCGGGCCGGGTACTCCGACTCTTTGTTTTAACGTCCATGAAAGATCCTGTGAACCATTCTTTGTCTCACCCTTCTCCTAAGACCAATTTGTCATGGGAGAGCCTACCAGGGGCACAAAGTGCCCCAGACAACATAGCTCCTAGGATCATTAGGGCACTCAAACTCCTCCACCATGATAAGGTGATGGTTCAAGGAGGTGTGATTGGCTAAAGACAACATATGGTAGCCAGTGCCAGCCGAGCACTACCTTGCGCATCCTCCAATCAGCTCATATTATTCTACCAGATAGCCCTCCCTCTTTCAGAGGGTTTCTGCTGCGGAGATTCTGGATCGAAATGTGTCGACCCGACACGTGGCGAGGCTACAGATAGAGATCTGGCTGCTGCCAGGTTAAAGAAAGGAGGGCTGTAACTACTGTTTACCATCAGTAAGTGTGGGGTTGCCGTGTCTCCTGTGAGCTAATACTGCAGCACCAACTATTATAATTTGACGATGGTCAGCAAAAAGCTCCACAGTTGTGTCAAGTGGTTGCAGTAACCACATTTTACCACAGGATGTCATTTTTACTTCATTTCTACATACTCTGCATAATGCACCTTTAAAGTATAGATCAATAGCTTGAAGTAAAAGTCGTTCCCACAGATTTTGGCCTGAGCAACACTCTGAAGCCCGACTCTTTATCTCCGGAGCTCCTCGGCACTCAATGTGGAAGTCCTGCCTATGCCGCTCCAGAACTGCTGGCTCACAAGAAGTATGGCCCCAAAGTGGATGTCTGGTCCATGTACGTGAATGAAGTCCCTTTTCTAAATCAGTGTGTGTCTCTGTGTAATTAAGTTACAGTTTCTGTGTGTGTGTGTGTGTGTGTGTGTGTGTCCGCAGAGGTGTGAGCATGTTCGCCATGCTGACAGGAACTCTACCCTTCACCGTCGAACCATTCAACATCAAACAGCTTCATCAGAAGATGGTCAACAGAGAGATTAGCAGCATCCCTGGTGACATCAGTAAAGGTACTGGTCAGAGTTATAAAATGAGGATTCTGTCTTTGTCTAAAGCACGAGTCATGCTTCTCCATCAGCTCCAAAAGGGAGAGACACACACATGCACGGATGGAGACATTTTGCCCTCATACCTCTCCATCTCCTGGAGAGTGTTGCAAAGTAATTCCCCACCAGGACAACAGAGGGCGTAGCACTGTTCTGTGGTATCCTGTCATGTATCCGGTCCAAGATAGTCTGTTTATATTGTGGGTTTTTTTGTATATAAGAGACTTTTTAACACATACAAATTTGTCTCTCATTCGCCTCCACCTCTTCATGCGCTCGCCACCTCTAAACCCACGTTTCCTGTCATTTCCGTCCACAAATAAAACGCTTGCTGCGTATCTTTTCACTCCTCCAGTCACGGGGGATTAAACTAAATCCAAATTCAAATTCAAAGATACTTTATTAATCCCAGAGGGAAATTAAAGTTTCAGTGCACACAATTCTGAGATCAGACATACATACATGGGCATAGACACATGACGAGAATTGGTGACTGTGGTCATTCGCAACCTGAGTCGTGCTACCTTAATGGAGATCAGAGGGTTTATATATGAGGATTGAGTAAGGTGGAGGAAAAAAAGGCACTTCAGAGTTACCCTCCACAGGAAGGGCAGCTTTGCCATGCAAAAAACACCTCAGACGGAAATGCAACATACTTCAGACATTACACAACATAAGTGTCCACTAGGTGGGGAGGTTGGATTAGGGACTTTCCTCACATCAGTGCATGCAGCCATGATAAGCAGCGCTCTTCACCTCCGTTTGGACAGGGGAAGGAGGTATTTGGGTTTAGAGAGCACAGCGAGTCCTGGAAACGATTAAACGGCCTTCACTGGTCGCAGTCCCGCCCAGACTGGGATAGGGAGACAGCAGAGGCGGAGCTAGCCTAAATAGCGCCCTGTGCGAGATCCCCCTGTGACCCCACCCCCACCCCCACCCCACACACAAAAGAAAAAAAATCAAACCTCAGAGTATTATTTATTTTTAACAGCTGATGTCACCATCACTTCTCCAGACTGGGGCTGCCTGGAAATTGTGTGTTTTCCTTTACCAAAAGTTAAAACCATCGACATAGGTTAAAACACCAACAATCTATTAATCATTAATAATTGATAAGATACAAAACTAGTGTTTTCCCCTAATTTTTTTGTCATTTTAAGTTTTTATTTCCTTATTCAGCAAATGTCTCCGGCAGACAAAAAACTAAATGACAAGAGGAGACACGACTATTGATTAATTATTCATGAATCCATTTTAACTGGTTAAATTCTTTAACTCTCCCGCGCTGCTCACAGGCTCACAGGCTCAAGGGCACCAGATTCAGATAAGAACTTGTTTTGGGGCCAGACAGAGATAAGTTCCTCTCTGTCTTAAAGTTCTGTTGGTCTCCAACCCCTCTAGATCCAATAATGGCATAAATTAATCTATCCCAATCCGTGCTGATCCGTCAACTCTATCCTTGATGGCATCAACCTTCTGTGCCAGAGTCTGAATCTCAGCCAAAGTTCCAAGCTTACGACTCATCTCGACAATTATATGAGTTTGTGCATTCACAGCGCGGTGTAATCCATCCCTGAGCTCCAGGATTGAGCCAATATTCCTTGACAGCTCATTAATTTTCCGGTAAGCCAGATAACCGCTCAGGACAAACAGCACGAAACCTGACACCAACACCACGAATATCCAGACATCTTCATAATCCTCTACAGACAGTTGGGAGAGGCAGATCAGGTTCCACTGTTTCCAGGAGTCCATGATATGCCCAACTGGCTCTGTCCCAGAGGGGTAACCGGGAGCCCCTTCTCCCGTTCTCATCGTTGAAAAAATTTTGTCAATCGCGTTGAGAGACCAACTGACCAGGTCCATTTTAATTTCCAGTTTCCAGGTTCCAGAAAAAATGCAGAAGCGCCGTACACCCAAAGACAGACAAAGAGGCTTGGGATAAGACAGGGAGGAGAGGAGGAAAAAAGCGTCTGAACTCTCCAAGAGCCGGAAGAAGAACGTTCATATTTTTAGAGTTTTTTCGCGAGGTATTCTTCAAGCTTCTCCGTGTCTGCCGCCAGTTACCCACGGCTCTCTTTATGTTTTTGAGGGCGCAATGGCAGCGGTGTAGATGACAGCGGTGCCCTGACCAATCACAAGCTTGCGTTCTCCATCTCGACAGATGGATGTTTAGAAAAGAGAGCTCGACTCCGGCCGTCCTTGTGAGGGCTCTCCAGCAGGCTCGCAAGGACAGA